TGGGGAGTTGGGTGGATGATTGTTTTGCTGTACTATCGTAGCGTGCTTCATTTACTAATATTACTATTATGATTATTATTGTTGTTGTGATTATCATTAACTCATTATATATTACCTTTTATATATTCTTAAAGAAATTAGGTATTTTCCAGCCCAAATCGTGTTCACTTTATGGAAAAATTCATTGAAAGAAAAAGTATTTTGCCACAGAAGAAGTATTTGGAGAAAACGAATGATTTGAACCGTTCTCTATTTATTAGGAACCAAAAGAAAAGAAAAATTCGATCACGTCGATGGTTTTTACTCGTACGTTTGATTTGATTTGTCGATTGCGTTTGTTATTATTCTTTCTATTCATTCCGAAATTGGCGAAGGAGGCCACATATCGGAAAGTTTTAACTTGCTACATTTCTAAAACTGAACTGGGACGAGGCAGGTGACAATGCGAATGTGAACACTTCAATAATACGTTCATTTAGTGCGACGTTTAGTGTGCTCAGTTGAACGTCGTCTATTAATAGAATTTGTTTATTTATTTTATTCCGTATTATATTTCAGTTGCTATAATGNAGGTGTAGATTAGCCGTTCATTTGGTCGATGGTTTTCTTGTGGTACTGTTATGTAGAGTACAAATATCGGTAGTAAAAATTTTTCTCAAAAGAATATTCTTGTTATTGTTGATTCCGTTGAAGTTATTGATCAATTATGTGGCGGTTATCATTACGGCGTCATGTCAAGTGTTATTATTGATGTTATCATTTCGTGGTGATAATCAGCACTGTCATGTTATTGCTCGTCATTTTGCAATGCATATTATTCACTATCGACGAAGATTGAATGATCATTCACGAAATTTGTTTCCATAGTGTCACTCGCTTGCTTGATTGATCGTTGGCTAGTCATTGTCTTCGATAGCATTCGTTTATTTTTTGCATTGAGTGCATCAGTACTGATCTTAGCAACATCAACAATTAAATTACAATAGTAATAGTAATAATAACAATTGTAACTCGGGCACATCAGATTGCAATTGTGTCTCGCGGCAGTGCGATTGTTACAGGTGCGATATCGCACTAACCACAGCAATCCTCAATGAAACGCAAAACGAGTTCTCTCAGATCTTCAGTCGGAAATGAAACATCACAAAAATTCCGCATAGTAGCGATTCTTTGAAACGTCAACTGAAATGAGTCAATCCATCACAATCACCCTTCTGACAATGAGCAGCATAGAGACTTTTTCATTCATTCGAAAAATTTTACGTTATAACTCAGCAACTATGCGCAATCGTTTGGTCGTTAAAATTTCATAAAGTTTCTAAATTTGGACATCATTTTGTTTCCATTTATTTTTCTCCTTTTTTTAATCGGGTAAAAAAATTCACGCATGTTGTTCAGATCCATGAAACACTAACAATAAGGGAACTCGTACTGAATGAAAAATATCGTTTTGTTGAAATGGTATTGGGGGAAGTCATGCTTTGTATTAGACGCGAACGATTGTATGATAATGATGTTGGTGACAGTGATAGTTTATTTGTTCGGTAGCGTTTTGCATTGTTTGTGTTTATTTGCATGTTCATCAACATCGTTATCCATATACGATGATGGCGTTGTCATAATTCAACAAATAAAAGTCAATCAGAAAATATTCGACCTATTCATTCCATCATCCATCTCTCTATTTATCCATTGCAAATTCTCCGTCATTGAAGACGACATCACACAAATCTTGCTCGTATTTACTTTTCCTTTCCAAAATATCAACCAAATTATTTACACACCTATTTTTTACGCACATATCAATGAATATTCTTTCATAGATCCACACCCACACCCGTCCTCTCATTTGCTGCGTCAGTTTTGCGTTCAGTTCTGTATGCGCATCTTTTTTGGTTTGTAATTCGTGAGCGAATGGTGCTTTTAACCTTTACACTTTAGAACTCCACCCTTGACTACTCAATATAGTACATGATCACCCAGTGATTATAAGGTTATCCATTCTGATTCAGTGACAGTTATGATGCACTCATTGTTCCGGTTTTCAAAGGCTAATGAGAAGGCAGTTAATTCTGTTTAATATCAGTGGAGGCGTCGAATGCCAAATATAAACGACAGAATGACGATTCATCTGATCTATCCGGCAATTTTATGGACGTTCATTTGTTATCTCTCTCCTCTATCACTAATTCGAATGTTTTCAAACAATAAAGTTCATGTGCCAGTTTGAAAAAATCATTCTAACAATTAGATACTATAAATACTTAAATGGTCAAGTGCACTCAGTCAGTTACTAGCCCTATAAGGCGGAATGAGTTAATTAATGTGGCAATATCTGTAACTTGAGTTAGTTGATAATCAAGCATGAATCATTGAGTTTGTGCTCTTCGAATATTCACCAGTGGAAATAATTTAATCGAAGCCATATAAGTAGTAATCAAACATCGCTTAAAATACAGTTCTTTTTCTGCAAATGGTGAGTACACTCAGCGCTACCATCGCAAATGCTACCTACTCTGAACATATTCAAATAAGGTTTCTATTCTTAATAGATTATTTGTTCGTTGCATTCATCGATGGTCATGCGCACTTATTTGTGAAATATACATTTACGTTTGTTTGATATGTGATAAATGCATTTTCATAAGCGAACTACGTGTTCTCGTTTTGAACGATTATGTGTTCATGTTTGATGAGATGTTAAGTTTATAGGATATATAATTGATTTGTTCGTGATGATCCAAATTNTAACAAGAGATTAAAAAACCCTTGTTGATGCCAATCAAAGTGATAAATGGCCACCGCAGCAGATGTCAGCTACGAACAACATCTGAAGCAGAACAACGAGCGACTCGTCTCACTCAGAAAGGTTAATTTCTATTACGTTGGTTATCGTTCTTGTTCGTGTTTTCATTGAGGTACGGAATAATTCAATTCATAAGAAGATGTTGATCAATATCTACTTCAATAGAATAACAAGAAACGTGGAAATAATGCGGCTAACTTTGCTCAAATTTTCACTTTTCAGTTATACGTTTCAAAATGTTTCATTTCATCCATTGAAAACTTTGAAGTACAGTTATGGATGCGACTGTAAAAGTCTCGGAATTTTTAGCAGTTGAACGATATCCGTGGATATGATCGTGGTTGTCGCGAGCTGATCGCATGGTGTGATGATCCACGTGCCTTTAATGCTGCCTTTGAGGAGAATCTCCTAGCAGCTCTTCAGGTTTACATTTGCTTTTTGTTTTAGCTGTGCGATTGATTGATTTATCTCTCAGTTCCTGCTGACTTATATAATAGATATGGATGGTTGGTTTTGTATTTCGATTGTTGCAATTCATTGGCTTGTTGCATCTCACCTCATTGGCAGTATCAGTTTCAATTGGGTATTGTGGTGGTGGCCTGTGATTTTTTAAAACGATATCTCTGTTCCAAGGTTTCGATGAACTCTACTGTCCTGATCTCTAAACTGTTCTATCTTCAGCTATGTTCCGTTCCCTAACAACAAATTTTAAAGTTGTTCTGTTTTTATCCTGCTAGAGTAGGGCGGGATAAATGAGCAACTTGATGAACTTAATTGATTATTTGATCTTTTCACAGATACTGTTGATTGCAAAGAAAGAGTAGAAAGGTTTTGGCTGTAGAAAACAAAAACAATTGTAGCATACAGAAGAATTCGGAGAATTTGAAATATTTCTTGAAAGAAGAAAAAGTTTAGAAGAAAAGCGAAATTTTGTGGGCATTGTGGAGGATGACCTCCTTTGTGCTAAATGCTTCTTCTCTCGCATGTTGCATAGAACTCTCACTTCACTATTGATATTTGTAATCATTATGTCGAGTGTGAACCGCATAAAAAACTGTCGAGAGGGCACGAGCCATGACAGATCAGCTGGCGGGTGCCCTCGATTACCACTCAAAATTGTGGATCGGCATGAGCACTGTGTAACGTGATGTTGCAAAACAAATAATCTTAGCGAGTTTTTACGCGTCTAATGTCTCCTCACAATTGCTCACTTGCACAGGTATTCTGTGAAATTGCTCTCTGAACCAGTAATGCCTTAATTTGAAAAAAAAAGACCCAGTTCGGATGCCGTTTTAAGAATTTTTGGCTTCAACTCCAGCTCCGCGTTTCCGAGAGATCTGTTCCGGCTGTGCATTTTTTGAGGTTGTGGCCTTCGCTCTGGCTCCAGCTTCGGTTTTCCAAAATGTCGACTCCAGCCCCGCGTTTTCGAAAATTTTGATCCCGGCTTCGGAGAAAAAAAAACTATCGTACAGGTCTTGGCTCAGGCTATTGAATATTGCTCCCTGAAGTTGAACGTAGTTCGACTGAAGATCGCAAGGGAAGATGATGGATGGAATTTCTCAGCCTTTATGCAAGAAACAATCACTGACACGTGTGTGTTTCTATGTGATGATGAATGTTGCAAACGACTGTTTCGTTTGGAAGAGATATGTAAGAATATTAGGTCGCTTGTTGAATCGTTTATCGTTTCGCACTGAGAAATTGAAAAGTTTTGCGCTAAGAAGAGAAGTAAGGTTGAATGTGTTGGTTTTGTATTGGAGGATAACGTTCAGTTGGAATCAGTACACATTCATTGTACTGATGATAACGGCAATCGTGCTGATCGTGAATTGTTCATGGAGAACGCTTCAAATTGTGAGGGTGTCTAATTCAAAGTCAATGAAAATAGAATTAACGAGATAAAGGTAGTTGAAAATCATTCGGAAATCAGTGAGGAATCNAGATATTTGTGAATAATCATTGGAGATGATCGTTCTGGTAGCGTTACATTTCTATGCTTGTTAGATGCGCTGTTGGGTCTACTCGATACATTCATGTTTTGCAAGGAATTTTATTGCTGTACTTTTTTTTTCAAGGAGATTCGATATGATTTGCGATTGATTTTCTATGTGTGTGTGTGTGTGTATGTGTGTTTGTTTTTTTGTTATCGTTGAACGGCGAGTTAATATTTTAATGGTGTGTGCATGTATTCTGTTGAAACGATTACGTTCGGTTGTCACTGACGGCAATTCATTCGAAAACTTTTATAGGCGCTTTTTCGAAGAAATTTTCTTTCAAACTGAAAAAGTTGGGCGCAATAGAACTCTGCCCTCCACCAGTTAGGTGCTCTCGTATGTAGTTCATTCAATATCGCTCGATACGAAGTTTTTGAGTGACACAAGGCAATAAGCTCAATGATGCATGATCATCTGCTAATTTGGAGCAAAATTTAGTCAACTGGAGGTGTCCTGAATTAACGAGCGATTTGCTTGCAAAATTCATCGTGGATGAACACTGAAGATGTGTTTAGTTGAGTGTGGAAGCCGTCGAGTGTTAAGAGAACTGACAATGGCATGATAATAACCAATTAATTAATNGACGTTGGCTGACCTCAACGGATGAGCAAAGAATATGCTTTTTGAAGTGATCACTTACAATAGGCAAAGTTTGCTTGCGTATCAAAAAGTGAAATTGAACAGTTGTGCTTCTGCGACAGTCATCTTCATGGTGTGAAATTTTCAGGAAGTCGTTAAGGTGTCGTCAAATGATGGTTTCGATCGGCAACTTGCTATTGCACTGATCACCTCGTGTCATTCACATCGAAAACTTTTATCGAAAGAAAGTGCCGGTATGTGCTGAATTAGTTCCAATCTGTTGAATATTTTAGGATTTTATGACTCTCAGTTGGAATTCCTCCGTAATGCAACTTATCCTACTGACACATCCTAATGAATTTAATCATTGTTGAAAGCAAGTTATCAGCTAAACAATTATCCTGTTGATCCTTGTCGAGATTTATCGATCATGCTCCTTAAAATCATATGATGGCCCCTTTCCATTTAACTCGTCAAATATATAGATGAATAAACAAATAAATAGATGAAGAATGAAGGCAGAGGTGCTTGCTGATGGTGTTATTTCGTTGACATTAGTAAGCAAGAGCATAACGTTTAAAGCAGCATATGAGCATAAGAGCATCCAAGGATAATTTGTGTTTGTATATGTATGTGTGTGCATGTGCTGATACAATTCATGTCTGTTTTGTGCCTACTTTATCTGGACATAAATATGTTTATTTGCAATAGTTCTAGTTCTAACTCTCTTATGATAGCAGCGTTTGGTGAAGTGAATGAATTGAATTGTTGTGTTTGTCAATTGCTGGGAATTACTGTGAGATGAATGATGAAGAGAGGAGTGATTTCAAGCATACAGCAGCTTATTTGAATCGAATCTATCTGTATTTATATATGACATCTAAATAACATGTTACATCCTCCTTATAGATGATGATGGTTCAAGAGGAGAATCAAGCGTGTGCACGTTGAAGTCAGTAAATGAGTTTAGTATGCATATATGAATGAATAGATGAAAGAATTTGAAGAGATATATGGTATCTATCACTCTGACCATCTTGAAGTAAATCACCGAGAGTGTGATGTGAATCGAGATGGAGAAGAAAAAGCATCGATTTTGATTGTGTTGTTTGCGGTGCATTGAATAGAGCATTAGTTTTATAACTAGTTTCAATTATAGTAGTGCGATTAGTGTAAGCGTGATTCTGTTGATTCGCTGAGTGTTATTAGAGAACTAAGGCAATGGGAATAAGCAGTGGAGTGCCGTTATCAGATATGAGAATGGTGCATGAGAAGCTGATGAAGAGAGCAATGTTGAATCTTGTTTATGAATTGAAAGATGGCAATTGATTGGTAGATGAGCATGAGCGTGAATAAATATTTGCTTATAAATTCACATATATTGCTTTTGAGATGTGCAATTTGGAGTTAGTTGCTAGAGAAGGAAGAGCTGATGATGGCTTATCAAATAATATAACCATTAGGTTATTGTCAGTTAGCTTTTGGTTTGCAGTTGCTCTAAAAATATGCCCAAAGGATGATGGCGTTTAGTGTGTGAGATTATGATATCAGATATTTAACAGCACTGAGTGAATAAATGACTTGAATAGAGTGAGATGAATTTGAGTCGGTGGAGAGATAAGTGAATATGTTGCATTGTGTATATTGAATTGAATTGGATTGCATCGAATCCAACTGGCTGATGTCTCTCAGCAATGCTATTGAAGACTAGTATCACTGCTTGATAGCTTCGGCATTCTTAGGTAGCTCTAAAGAATGCTAGACAAGTAGACACACAAATATGCTTGAATATTAAGAATAGGATGATGATGTTGTTGATGGAAACGGTGATTAAAAGAGATTGGAATTGAGTAAAGACAGAAAGATTAATAAAGGCTCGAGAAAACGAAGAGTTTGCTGAGGTTTGCATGTTCAGATGCTCAAATGGATGCACCTAGTGAACATTCACAAGCTTAACTCGCCTGATCGCTTGAGGAAAGACCGTTAAACTTATATGACAGAAGTTCGGATCCTAGAAAGATCAAGGGCAAAAGCATGCTTGAAAATGCCGTAGTTATTCAAAGATATACATGAAATGGCTAACTAGGTATATTGACATTGTTGGATGGCTAGCTTTTCAAGATTGGAGAATACGAGCAGCAAGTAACTATTATTATACACATTTACGTGCATATGCACCTATTGGTAATCGTTATTAAAAATGTTCGTGTAACCAATTGACATCATTTAGCGAGTAAATGCAAAAATCATGTTGATAATAAAGTGGAAAAGAAGCAGTTAGTAATTAGGTGGTAATTAGCTTGCGAGTAATCGTGTGATTCGCTGTTGTGCGATATTTTTGGATAGAGTGAAATAACAGAGTAATCAAATACATAATAAAACTATCAACTTTATCATCAACACGATTATCTATTTACAAATTTCATTCTCATTGGGTGGAAGAACTACCAGCTGCGTGCACTTAACAGGGATGCTTTCAGCTGCGAGCATTCTTCAGGATGTTTGAAAGTCATGAATAAAACTGTTTAGTAATTGTCAATGATCTTCGAAAGAACTGTATTAAAATTGAAGAGTTGAGAGCTTATTCTGTTGCGGGAATCGATCGGCAATTAACTGTTGTTGCCTCAAATGGAACAGAATGGTGAATCTTGCACGTCCTGTTCTCAAATGGGGTTTCTGAAAATGCTTATAAGGAACTGGTGGAATGTGTTCCGATGGAAATCGAGCTAGCCATAGAGAAATGTCCACCAACGTTCATAGGCAAGAATGACAAGAATCATGCATTCAGCGTTGTTTGGTTAAGATTCTCATCTTCTCACCTTTGTAATACCACTTCCTGACAACTTCAAGCTAGAATTACAAACAGCTCTTCTTCACAAGACTCCTTCAACGATCATATCACTTTCCGCGGTCATTTCTTCGGCATCAACCGTTTTAATGTCTGCATAACAAATTCTTGAATAAACATTCGAAAGAATCACTCACAGTCATCCATTGAACCACCATCACTTAAGTGGCATTCTCATTTTTCCAAAGTGGTTCAACACGTTGGAATCAAGTGACTTTGCCAAATTTCATCCATTTCATCCAAAATCATTTCATCCAGTGATTTAATCTGAACAGTTTTGATGTGCAATCGTTTCACCTTATGCTTCCATTCCATGAACGTTCATTATAAGGCTGTATCTCTCCGATAGCATCATCACTTTGATGCCCTTTCAAGTAAGGTGAATGACTGAATGCGGTCGATGATCAGTGTAAAGAATACCGATCTAAGATTAAATCCATTCATGCAAATGAATCTCATTTTGCCGTAACAAATAAAATGAATAGTTTTCTGAACACTGCATCATTTGCCAGTCCCACTGTTGACTGCCAGACAGATTTGATTGTAGCTTCAAGAATGACAATAACAAGCAACGACTGTCGAAACGAAAAAATTTTTACCTCATTAGATTACGACTGGATGAATGTAGTGAGTTTATTTGCTAAATAAGTGTGAATATTTACCACTCACTGCTCGTTGATTAGAGGATAACAAGTATGAAGATGTTCGTTCGTATCATATGCACAGTCGTATATGTAAATGAAAACGTTTGTTCATTCGATTTCAGTATGTTCCATTGCAATTTGTGATTGGTTTCCATTCTTGTTATCAAGAGAGATTTTTTGATTTGCGATTTCGATGAAATTATTCATTCATTCGGTATAACTCGATAAAATTCTCTTCGATTTATCTAGATTTCGATGTCCTTTGATCTGTTCTGATATGATCTTTATCACTGTTATTATTATTAGTTCATTGACTGCCCTGGCTCTCTTCTCTTGCATTACCAATCCAAGCAGCTCGTATGGTTTTGTTCTGGCTTCTATTCCTCCTACTCTTATTCTTCTTCTTTAGCAGCGCTCATCAATACCGTTACTACAATCATACCATCAAAAACATCAACCATTGCTATCTGAAATTCTAGCGCTTTCTCAAATTTTAGAGCACACCATCGAGCACGCTTAATCACCAAATTCTTTTCACGCTTCTCACACTCGTCGTTTCTAAAGTAGCAGCAAGAAAAGTCAGTCAGTCACTCTGCTCGTTCGTTAATTTCTCCGACTATTCATTCATTCGGCTTTTCGATTTGGCTTTATTCACGATGCAATGCGGTGTGGTAGAATGATGGTTTTTGATTCCCTATCAACATTTGCATCACCAATCTGCTCGTGTTATAATGCATCGACCACCTGGTTCTCTTTCGTCTGAACCATCCATCCATTTTCAGCTCGATCGACTGTTACGATTGAAAATTTTTTTTTCAATCATTATTTCTATTCCCATTCCTGTTCCTATCGTTATTGCAATTGGAATGGAAATTGAGATGAAAAAATGGAGAAGAAAGACTAACGAAACGACTTTACATGAAAGCATTTATTTGTATAAACATATATACCTTAAACATATGAATGCAGCACATATGTATAAGTGTATATCTCTAAATGATTTGGTTGAATCGTTTTATGTTCAGATATACTTTGAATCATGAAACATTTTATGATATTTGCCCTCTAAGAGAACATCAGACTGAGAATTTGCACTTAATATTTGTCTCCTCTTTCAGCGATCGAATTCTGCGAAATTGTTTCTTCGAATTTCGCGTTTTTAGGAGCGAAAAGTGAACTTGCACTTCACTTATATGGGTAAAAATAATGATGCGTCTTGATATGCACATGAGTGCCAGTGGAAGCAGATTCCTTGATGGAATGGTTCTAAGAAAATACTTTAACATTTTTATCATTGCCGTCATTCAATAAGTAGCATAAGGATTGATATAGATTGAAAACTCTTAAGACTCCATAATTTTATGCGTTTCTTCCGTAAAATTCCATATTCTTGGGAAAATTTGAATGTCTAGAACTATTTTTGCAAAATTCTAACGTTTCTTTGTCTTATTTCTTATCTTTGTGCAATAATTTCTGTCTGAAAATTTGAGCATTGGCTACTAGCAGTTCCTTCTCTCGTTTATGTAATGGGTGCTATCGGAGAAAACTCTCAATCTGAATGCAAAATCGCTGATTGTTTGCAATGACTGCATGGTTCGTGATGAAACCGCGAATCTCTCCAATTTTAATAACTCGATGAATGTTCTGAAATTTAAAAAAAGTCAAACCTTTCTTGCGATGATCCCTATAGCAGTTCAAAAGAATAAATGAATATTTTTAGTTGAATGATATTGCAATCTATTCGGTATATCTATTACGGAGCATATTTGTGTTTTTGTTTATTAGATATGCTGCTATGAGTGGTGTACGAATGTTATTGATAGTGAAGCTGAAGAATAGAGGAATGAAAGCATCAAAGAGTAATTATAAAAAGGCAAACTAGGGCGTCGCATGGATATGAGAATTTGCAAGGAGTTGAATCCACATTCTCGTATGCATAACAAAGTTTGTTTATAAGTAATAACGTTGAGATGTTCAGGACTGTCTTCAAAAAACGAGCTGAATTGTTTTCTGTGTTGTTTTTGCGATGATTCTCATTTGCTGAACAAATTCTTCTTATGTTAGTTAGTGGACTTTTGTTCATTACAACTCAACGAACCAAGCATCGATCCATTCTTCTTCATTTGGCGCAAACGAAAACAAGAAAACAATGAAGTGTGATCGATGTTTTGAATTATCAAGCAATGCGCACTGAAATATATCATCAGATGACACAACCGCGGCACAGGATTCTACAGTGCAACAACTATATTGTAATGGTACTTTAATGGAATAAATTAATAGCAATTTAGTACTTAATAGAGGCACACTGATCAATACATGCAGACTAATTGAATATTCAATTACATGCATATTCGTCAGTGAAAGAAGTAGTTCATCATCATATTTAATTATTTACTTCATCAACTCTCTTAATATTCTCAATTTTGCAAGATTCCAGAGCAGGCACAACGAATTTCGTAAAGACCGTTATGAAATAGACAAAAATATCCTCCATGAATGAATTTGTACAATTAAGATATCAGTAGTGATATGGGGGAGGCATACGGCAAGTTTCACATTGAGATTTCTTATCATGACGAAAGAAGCCGTTGAATTGCGAACAGACCAAAAATATAGAAGAATAAATTGTTTAAATGCATTGGCTGCTTATATTATATTATAAGCTCAGAACTCTACTCTCCAATTAATATCATTGTTCAAACATTAACGCACTGATTGTTCATCAGTTCAGTGAAAGCCGCATTGTTAATGATTTATACGACGTGTAGTTCACAGAATCGAAAGGGGATTTTTTCATTGCGTCGAATTGAACGCTTCCAGAAAGTGTTTATTAAGCAATTCAAGTTCAGTTGTTGAAAGGAGACCCACAACTGAAATCAGTCATTTCCAACGTTGACTCCTCTTCTGAGCTGATCTGGTTAAGCATCAGCGCATCCTCAGCGATCAACTCCCCTTCAAAAATCCCATCAAAAGCTTTGATCTGTTCTCATCCAGCGCAACTTTTTCAACTCACCAATCATTGATAAGCGCACTTATCGCACGCCAAAATGTACGCAGACAGTCACGATACCGTATCCAATATTCGTGCTCTACCTGCCCATGTCTGCATGTCTGTCACTCTACATTTGTGCCATCAATGTACTCCGTCTTCAGGCTACCTGTTTGTTTGGAATGTGTACTGTAGAAAAGCTGGGAATATTAGATATGGCTAATGTTTTTTGGTGGAAATTTTCATCAGACTCGAGGATCCTCACAATACCTCGGTGGAAAAAAAAGCATGCTGAGGAAGTGCTGAATTGTACATTTTTGGGATGAATAATTTTTTGCTTACGTTGAACAGCCAGATTTCTTCTCATTGCTCGTCGTAGTCTGCGCTATTCCGAGAAATAAATATTCGTTGTTGTCAGCGTTATGACGTGGTGTTTCAACGAGTTTGTTAATTTGGTATATCCATCGATTCATATCGATATTAGTACACTTTCAAAAGCAGCGTTATCGTCTGCGTAATTGTGTCTGTATTCGTTTCGAAATCGAATTCGATAGTGTTGAATCGCTATGCAATGACGGTTTCATTGACATTAAAGTTTTCTCGGTAAGTTATTCACTGCGACGAGTTGTTGCACTATTCCTCTAAAAGCTTGTTCTTGTCGAGAAACATTTCCGGTGGTAAATGAAAGAACCGAACAATCCATCAGTGTTTACCAAAGAAAAAGCGATGCAGAACTGTTAGCATGACATCATAAGTAACTGACGTCACCGGATCGGTAAACTAAGCGTCAAGCATTGTTTGGGTGGAATATGACGTTGTTCGTTTAGAATGTGAAAAAATTAGCTATTTAGAAGACTTCTGAACTGCAAGCGGTGAACAACGAACATCATTGATTGAGTAGTGCAACGAGTAGAATCGTGAGATGATTCAGTTCAATTGATCAAGAGAAGATTGATGATCCGAACGATATCTGTTGATTTCTGAAACAAGTATCTCTGTTTATCAATGATCTTTCATTTAGATTACATCAATACGGATGAAATGAAACGAATGAATGCATTTCGCTGCTATTAGCAATCAGTTTTAGCTTATTCATTTCAGTTTGCCACAAAAACTTTCTGTGAGCGTCAATGAAACGTTTAACTTGTTGATCGATTAGGCAAATGAGCAGAAATCTAGACTGCACTAAAGCTACATCAGAATTTCTAATTGAAACCTTTTAAAAGTGCACGTTTTCGAAAGTTTACGGAGATTACGAGTATGAAGTGTTTGAAAAAAACTGAAGTACAGGCCTCAGTTTGAGGCTGTTGTTGAAAATAAGGAGACTGTGCATGGTTGAGAACAATCGGAATCAATGCAGTTACAGCAACAGGTAACCTGTTAAGCACCTCATCAGAGCATCTGCATACTGATTGCTATCATATTCGAGGCCCTTTTGTTGCTCTATTCGGTATTCCTCGCGGTCTCTAAACGGACTGACAAATAACTTTTCGCTCTCCGTGAATATGTTCTCAACGGTTCAATCAAAAAAAGTAATTCTAGTACAATGAGTGCGTTGACTTCAAATGTCTCTCATTGTGTTAACAATGAGAGACANTCGTTCATCTCGTTCCAAACCCTGCACTAGAAAGCGTTTTTCTTCATATATATATTGCCAGGTCAACTCGATCGAAGGTAAAATAAAACCAAAAGTTCAATTTCGCTTTATTCCATCCTCATTTAGCATGTCATTCTATAACCACGTCATGAATGGAAGGATTGTTGATGTTTTCTCACCCAGCTGCATTCATATATCGCAAAACCCGTACCGTTATCACTTATTCAGTAATATTACTGTTCATGATTATAAGGATGTTTAATGCTCACTGCTTCCCTCATTTTCACCTCGTTTTACTCTTCAGTTCCATAACTGCTTCGCATCTGAGGTTATTCTTTTAGGGCCTGATGTATAAACCATTCCAGCTTTGTCGTTCAAATCATTCATTCTTACAATCCCGAGTATATCCCTTATTTGGCGTTATAAGTGATGATTTCTCTGAAAGTGTATTCTTTCATTTATGTCTATATGATGATGTACCGAGCATGTGTTTATCCGAATCTATTTCAGCAGTTCACTAAATAATGTCGCATGACTCTTGCATTCAGTTTCTCACTTCTGTCTTGTCTGCTCACGGATAAGATATAATACTCTCTTCATGTACTTGTTTGTTTCTAAGCGGATACTTATTTTTAGTCGCTAATCCTCCATAACCATACAACTTAGAGCGCAAGCATATTTACGTATATGAGCACAATAAGATGCATAGATGCATAATATGCATTTGTTTGCTTGATTTGGACGAATGTGACAATTATTGCATTGGTCATATTCTGTTGATATGGATGTTGGTGTGTGTGTGTTTGTTTTATTGTCTCTATACATATTCACGGTTGATCCAATTCAATCCCATGATGAACGAGAATATATTGAGTTTATTGGGTGCGAAGAGAAGAAGTACAAACGTACACTAACTGAAGCAAGATTGGATTGTAAACGATGAAATATCACATAGAAGCATGAGAAGGAAAGGAAAGGTAAAAGGGGCACATCCCAAATACGAGTGTTCAGGAATATGAGATAAGGAGTAAATGAGGGATATCGATTGAGTGCGAGAACGAGCGATTAGAACACTTAGGATAGAGCAGCAAGGGTGACGGATAAACACCAAAAGGATAACCAAGCTCCAATAAGGAGAGAATAGGCTTCCATTTCGATAGGCCAATAATTTGATCATCCATATAACTATCCTGTTATACATTTATACATAAATATGTGTCATGTTTGGATAGATTATGTGAATGAGTGAGTCAGTTATATACATATTATGGTTAACGAATAATTGCGGTTGTAGTTATGAGTGTAGCACCAACACTAGAAGATTGGTGCTAAGTTGTGTTGTGGTGATCGATGTTGTTGCTATTTTCAGCACGAATAAGCCGTTGGAATGGAGAGTTGAAACGACAGAAAAGGTCATCATCGTCATCACAAGCGCAGCAGCATCGACAGCAAAATTCTACGAGGAAGGCCATCGCTCGTGGTAGTACGGCCACCTCCCTCGTCATCACATCACAAAGCCAGCAATCTTCGTCAAATGCTCCTGCAACAGTCAAACAATCAACGCATAAACGACGTCTTAACACGACATTAGCGAATCGTGCTAATAATAATAAGAAGAAGAGTGCTTATAATAGTAATAGCAATAATAATAATAATACGAACGAGGATACATCTACACAGTTACAGTTGACATCAACAACGACAACATTCAATAACACAAACAATACATCTTATCCAGTTGGGATTAATCGAACAACTGGTGACTGCATTAGTAATAACATTAACGATATCAGCAGTGATAATCATATCAGCCATATTAGTGAATCTAATACCAAATTGGTATACTTGAATAACAACAGTACCATTGCATCACGAGGAGGTATCACTGAATGGAATGCCAGCATAAATATCATTCCCGCACAAGAACAGCCAGCAAACCTTTCTTCGAGGGTGCAAGCCACTGACGGAGTTATGGTCAGTGACCTCGAGCAAATGATGCGAATGCCAAATCAACTGCAGCAAAATCGCTGTCAGAACTATCAGAATCAGAATTGCCAATCGATGCCTCGTTATCTGCCTTCTGCCATCAGCAAAAACAGCGACAAATTAAACAATAACCCGCAACTTCCCGTACCGCCTACTTCATCGACTTCTGGAGCAGTTTCTTTCGAAGGCGCTATTGGCGTATATGAGACGACTTGTGTATCTGCAGCTAACGATGGCATACGGTATGTTTTGCTTGATGTTTTGCGCTTCTGAGATTTATTGTCTTTGAAAGTTTTATTGCTCATTTGCTTTTCTCGTTGCTGCTCAGTTTCAAAGTTTTCTTTATCCGAACACTTATGTGCAGGGATTATTTGACTGCTTGCTTCCTTATATAATCACTCATTTATTGATTCGTTTCATATATCCGGATTTACAACGGAACTAATGATTTGATTCAGTTTGACCTAATGATTTGATATGTTTGTAATTAATTACCACTGGTTACACTCAAACATGTCGCAAACCATTTACGAAGGTTCGAAGATCAACTGTATCGGGTTAGTGCGTTATGAGGAGAAATCTCTCAGGTGTTTGTGGTTACTCGACGAAGCTTATCTATTAGCTAGTGTCATGATGGCATTCATACAATTCTATGATGACATCCTTATTTCCCTTGCCAGTGCAGTTATTGTCTGTCATAGATGTTAGTAAGTTCGTGCGCTTTTATTCAAATTGAATTGTTCCGGCGAAAGTCCACTTTTCCGGAAGAGTGTCATACACCAATCGATAGCAGGTTTTCTGCTCTTTCCAACTGTGTTAGACGGTTTATTGCAGTTTTGTTTCGTCCGGATCTTCAGCGTGATGAAATGAAGTGTCAGGTGGACGAAAAACGCATTTTCTAAAAACGCTTCAGAACGACAGAGCGGTCAGTGCTGCACTGCACAACGAGCAACTGAACCAGCTCAAGCGAGCTATTCAGGGCAAACGGCCCGATATCGTGAACAAGGTCATCCTGCAGCATGACAACGCGCGCCCCCACACGCAAAACTGATCAGAAAAACGATCGAAGAGC